AAGAGTCTGGCGAAATAAACACCGGAAGAAAAGTACAAAGATCAGTGTTTACAGAGCCATAGTGCTGTCTACTCTTTTATATGGCTCCGAATCATGGGTCATCTACCACCACCACCTTTAACCAAAGCAGTGTCACACTGAACAACCAAGTAACAACCGGCTGTTCACACAGTAGCAGGTTTTGGGTGAAGCACTGCCCTGTCATGCCCTTGCTTCTGTTGATGAGTTTTTATGAAAACCTCTGAGACTCATGGGCAAGTGGCTGACCTGTATATAAATTTAGGGGCAGGCTAAGTTCCTGCTTTCTGTCTCTCATCACAGATTCACATGGATTAAGTGTGTGTAACTGGCTACTTTAGTCAACTTCAGCCTATTTCAAAATTAAAGGAAAGCAATTTTTCATGCTTATGTTTTCTATACAGAGTGGAGCAAGCCAAACTATCTGTATTCTGGAGGATAATGAAGCACGTATTAGGACGTCTAGACACCTGGAGAACTAGCCAGCAGTTAAGGAGGACAGGCTCTTTCAATTCTGAACCAAGAACCACTTATCTTCTTTGTAAAATGCAGTACTATAATCTTGTAAAGCTCCAACAAAGAGGCAGTCTATGCTGACTTGTATAACTATCTTTTCCTTTCTATCTTCTTTGCAGATCATTGCTTTATTGCAGTGTCTTGGGTCAAGATGGTTGTTTAAAGTTGAGCTGTTTTTTAGAACAATGAACCAAGGCTGGAAACATTAAGCTACTGCGACAAGGGAAACTCACAAAATAGTTGGGAAATCTTAACAGGGACTCTGAAGTGTATAATATGGATACTACTATTTAACCTTGAGGTGAAAAAAAGAAACCAAGTTAAACGGATTGATATAATTTCAGCTGCTTTGAGACTTTAGAACAAAGCAGAACTAACTTCTCTCTGTGAGTTAAAAGTTGGGATTAACACACTTTGCCTTTTACATTTACTACTTATTATTTGCAGTACAACGTTAAAGTCTTAACATATAACTCCCATATTCATATTTTTCCTTTAATTTACTAGGGTTTGGTAATAGAACCAAAACATTTCCTTCTCAGCTCAGCATCACCAACCTGCCAGCAGGAATTTTCATCACACTGGGACTAGCCCCACTGAAAGCTGTTGCAGCAAAAGGAACCTCAGATGTGTTACAGGTCCTGTGGTACTGAAGGCACAGAACAAGGCACACCAAAACACACAGAAAACAGGATGACATTGATGCACCGGCTAATTCAGGTGTTTTAACAAAAAAGGCAAGTTTGCAATGAAAATCTCAGTGCCCTTACTGAATATCTCACTAGACTTAAATGCCTGAATAAGTTTATGAGGTAAATACCAAATTCAAAGTGAGACATTTGTACATCTACAACACTGAAAGCCTAAAAACACAGATCTGAGATAAACCCTCAACCAAACTCTTTAGAGCTTTGTCATTCATAAGAACATTACTATTTACCAAAGCTCCATCTGTCTTTCCAAGTTCTGGCACTGCCTATAGGTCTGGAATTGCATCTGTTGGGAGTCTTGGTGTTAGCTTTCTGCCCAAAGCCTGCTCCAGATGTCAACAGGCACCCCTAAATCCCTAGGATGTATCTAAAAAGGAAGTTTGGCCAACCTTTTAAGTACTCTACATGTTGGAGAACAAAAGATGCATTTCAACTGAAATACCCATTTTCTTACTGTTTACATCACTGTGCAAGTAAAAGTTCTTTTTCTGTGAGAAGTTCCTACTACAACCTAAAAAACCTTTGTGTTCTACGTCATAATTAAAAAACAAATCTTCAGATATTTCCTTACACGTGTAAGCAACACTGTGCAGCATTGTAACCTTGTACTTGAAAATGTGTATCTTCCTACGAGCATTAAGCTTCACACTACTGCAATTTCGACCAAATGATGAGACACTCACTCCAACATAGAATTCTGTCAGAGTTGCACATTAATCAATTAAAATTGTAGAAGGAACCAAGGAGTGGACAGCTGATCCAGACCTCTGAATCATGATTCATCCAAAGGCTGTTATTAAGAGTATACAGTTTTCTGGTCCCATGAATTGTTTCCAAAATAGCAAAGGACTGCAAGACAAGTGTTTCAGTAATCTCACCTATGTCTGGATCTAAATAACAGCAAGATAAAAAAAATAACCACAAACAGACAACACAAACACAAAATAACCCACTTTTTATTTCACTAAAGAAATTATACTCAATCTTAGAAGAAACAGGATTCATATTTAGCATCTGGCCATTAAAAACTGCATGTACACCACAAGAAAATAATATATTACAAAAAGTGACTTTTTGAAGAAAAAACAAAACACTTTTAAATTGTTTTCTCTCTTGAGAATTCAGAATTTATTTTCATGCTTATGTTTTCTATACAGAGTGGAGCAAGCCAAACTATCTGTATTCTGGAGGATAATGAAGCACATATTAGGATGTCTAGACACCTGGAGAACTAGCCAGCAGTTAAGGAGGACAGGCTCT